GATCGGCTTGGTAAGCCTGGTACACCGCCATGGTGTGCAAGCAAGCGCCAGCCTGACCTGCTGCCATTTACCCTTTGCCCACCAGCGTTGAGGTGGTCCGCAGCAGCTTGGAGGGCAATGCCGGAGCCTTCAGGGACCATGCCGCGCCGAGGGACAGATAGCTTGCAAGCATCTGTTCGACCCGGGGCATCGCCCTGTAGCCGTGATCATTCAGTCCTGCCACGTTGGCATAATGACTGGAGGTGGGACTGAAGATACGGGCCAAGAAGGGTCTCACCCACGACCTCAACACCTCGGTGTGGAGATCGGGGAAAAAAGGCAGGCTCCAGCGTGGAGGTGGCGGCTTACTCCGCAGAAAGCGTTCATTGAGCTTGCTTTTCTGCGATTCAGCCCGTTTCTCGGCGGGCCAGTCGATGTTTAGCTTGGCCACGGCACGAGTAACCACCTCCAATAGCTCCCTCGAGAGCTGATTCTGCGTGCTTCGCTCCCAAGCAGACAACGCACAGACTGTGTGTATCCCCACCCATAATGTAGCGCAGGCAGGGAGGAACACAGACTAAAACGCTGCCTGCTCTCACCCTTATGTTTAGTCTTTTCACTCATCTTTGGCATGGTATAGAGTGATGGACAGACAACAATAAATAAGACTCACAAACGGAGAGAACTGACACTCACACATAGCGCTTGCTGAATGACAGAAAGCTGCCGGTGTGTCTACTGCATGTGCTTTTAAGCTTCCTGGTCACTACGTCACTACACCCGTGATGTCTCGTCCAATCCATTGATTACACACTTGATTCAGATCGTGGTCACGCTGAAGATGTTCCCGTAGCGTTTCGACACAGCTCGAGTTCCTGAAGGGGAAACATATATTTGTGACAGGGTTGTAGTTTTTCACTCAAAATGGCCACTGCTCCTCATGTAGTGTAGGAGAGTAGATCATACATGGCAGCAATAAAATAAGTACATTGTATATACTTATGGATTAAAATAAAATATTGAAAAATAATCATTTTCCATGTTAATTTTATGTGACGGGTTTGAGTTGTTAAGCTTAACAGTACCCTCCCTGACTATAATATGCCTCAAAAATAGGAATTAAAAGTATTGTACTGCTAACCATTTTGTGCACCACTATTAAAGAGACCTGAATGATGTCATTTCTGGTAAGTAATGTCACATATGAGTGTAGTTTAAATTATTATGGGCGTAGAATGGTTAGTGTGATGGGGTTGAGTTCAGACTGAGGGACATGCAGTAACTTTAAAGTCTGCTTTTTTATAAAATATCTGGCTTTTTTTCACAAGAAAGGAACACAAATAAATGCTTACATTATTGCCAAAAATCATAGACACTATGCACATTTTGTTAAGAAATTTCAAAGTACAAAATTGCCTCAGGGACATGACAAAATGCTGCATTTAAGATAGATTTAAGACATTATTTTATCCTAAAATTATATTAAAATGCAATAATTATTTTTATTCATTATAATGGGAATGAATAAAAGCCAGACTGAAGTATTACCGAATCCCAGGAATGACCCACATTATTTTTGAAGTCATACGTTTTACTTTTTGAAGTCACAGATCAAAAGAAATGCCTCAGAGAGTATGCAGTTTGGGATGCAGTGGCTGCAATTACACTGTGATTCAAAAGTTTGGGATCAGTAAGATGTTTTTAAAGAAGTTTCTTCTGCTCACCAAGGCTGCATTTATTTGATCCAAAACACAGAAAAAAACACTAATATTGTTAAATATGAATACAATTTAAATTAGTTTTCTATTATAATATTCTTTAAAATATATTGTATTTCTGTGATGCAAAACGCAGCCATCAGCCATTACTCCAGTCTTCAGTGTCACATGGTCCTTCAGAAATCATTCTGATTTTTTTATCAATATGCAGATTTATTTTCAATGTTGGAAACAGTTGTGCTGCTTCATTTTTTTTTTTTTTTTGGAACCTGTGATACTTTTTTTCAGGATTTTTTTTATTAAGAAAAATTTAATAGGAACAGTGTTTATTCAAAAAAGAAATATTTTCTAACAATATAAGTCTTTGCCAAAACTTTGTAGCAAGTTAGCACATCTGAATAAAAGTATTAAGTTCTTAAAAAATGAAGAAAAAAGAAAGAAAAAATAAACATTTTCTGACTGAAATGTCTTAATTAATATGTTTTATTCATCAAAGAATCTGCATATTAGAATGATTTCTGAAGGATCATGTGACACTGAAGACTGGAGTAATGATGCTGAAAATTCAGCTATGATCACATGAATATGTTTTACAATATATTCACATAGAAAACAACTATTTTAAATTGCAATAATATTTCACATTTTACTGTTTTTTTTCTGTATTTTTCATTAAATAAATGCATCCTTGATGAGCACCAGAAACGTCTTTAAAAAATAAAAACATTAAAAATCTTACTGATCCTAAACTTTTGAATTCATTACAATATGGGCATGTCATTTTTGTCCCCTTGCAAAAATGGAGGGTTCTTGAGAAGGGGTCGGATCCATAGGTTGCACCCCATCAAAGGGCCTGTGAAAACTGTTTTTGTGTTATTATAAAAGTATAAAACATATGAACAACTTTTTTTCTTGTGTTTGGTTTGATTTCCTTCACTCTATTTCCACCATATAATGCACAACATTCTGCAACATTCATTCAACATTTCTCTCTTCCCCCACCTCCCCACCCATCCCTCCCTCCCCATCTCAGTCTTTAAATCCTGCCGCTCTTTGCCGGTGGAAACAGAGTGCCTGTGGTTGGCCCATCTGCACGGGGGTGTGTAAGTGTCCATATTGATTTCTGGGGTTGACTCAGCTCAGATTGTAAATTCATAAAGTTGTGAATTTGTGTATGTATTGCCTGAGCAGGTCTCATCTGTCCTAATGGCAGAACATTTGCACTGCTCAGAATGTAAAGACAGAACATCTAGTTACCAGAGCTCTAATGGACAAACACCGCAGGAAGTGTTAGTCAGGTGGAAGGAGAGGTGAGGGAATAGACTGAAAAGAGAGCAACAGCGAGCAACAAAAGGCCCCAAAAAAGCTCTGCTGATGTATGACTCTATTTAGATTGTGTACGGAGGTGGCTGAGCATGTTGATTTTACCCAGCTTGGCCTTTTAGGGCAGTGTTCAGAGTAATTTAACGCTAACTGAGCAATTTTGGAAGGCACCAATAGGCTGATCATTATATTTTCTGTGTAATTTCCCCTCTTGGAGCCATCGGCAGGTTCATAGGTGTGCCACAGCCATCTAAATTATGGTTTATTATAAAATAAATATGTTTTTACTTTCCAAAGAAGGGTAGCTTAACACAAAGCAGCTAATACACGTATTATACTGCACTTCACTGATGTTAAAAAAAAGAGGTTGTTCATTGGATTTCCCACACGATCGAAGTTCATGTTGACACAGGAATCTCGATGAAGGGACACCTAATCACCCATTAACTTTCTAGTTCAAAGTTTTTCTCTGTTTATGAGCTACAAACCCACTGACTCTTTCATTCAGCCACTGCTGCCTTTGACCTGTGACCTTTAACCCAAAAAAAGCCACTCAAGGAATTGCTCTATTTACTTACAAACACCTACTGTCTTTACTGCCTATACTTATGGACTGTAGCTCTCAATATGTATCTGCTGATTTACTGATGCTTTTTTAGTCTTGTATAAATATTTCTTTCACTCATACTTAGAGTTACAGATTTGAACAAATCACCAACCCTGATTATTGAACTTTGGCCTGCAACCTGCTATAATTTATATTTGTTAAGATTTTCTGCAGGGAACAAAATGAGTGTTAAAATCCCGTAGACACTGGAGGAAAGACAGAGCAAATTAGGGAAAAGAATATCATAGAGAGGGCACGGAGAGGGCTTTTTTGACATGGGACATTAAGCAGCTACTTAGCAACCACATAGCAACATGCTTAAAATCACATGAATTATAGCAATTATATAACAAGATTGTGGCAGACACTTTTGCAAATACCAGTTTTTAAATAAAATGTAGCTGAGTTTTATGCATGTTTATTTCAAAATATATAAATTGAACATGGTAAAATATCATCATAAATATGTGATTAGTACGTGGAGGCAATCATAGAAAAATCTAACTTGTAAAATATGCAATGCTGTTCAAAAGGTTAGTGTTCGTATTGAATACACAGGTGGGTGAAAAAAAGGGTTTTGCTATTATGTCTGCCATCAGTGACAGTGTAGGTGAGACATAGACAGAAATAGAGTAAAATAGTGAAATGAGAGTTAGTATAGGCATAATTCGTAGTTTGCTTCCCACTGAAACACACATGCACTCTACATACATTTGAACAGACACAATGGAACAGTTTTTATAGACCAATCAGAGAAGTATAAAAATGCATGCATTGGTATAAATGCCTCTTTAAGACAAATTCAAACTTCTGATGGCCCTCTGTAATTCGTCAAGCAGCATCAGATTCTTCAATGATAATTATTCTGAATATATTATAACTGATATATTGAGGGTGGGCGTGAGATGAGATTAATGTTGTGTGCCCAATTTTATTTAAAACACTAGGATAAACTCAAAGATACCTAGCCAAACACACACACTAAACTAAAGTAATGCTCTCTCACACAGAGACATAATTCAACACCAACTTGGAAAGACGCAAGCAGTTTTGGAAGATAAAACAGTTTAATTGACGACCACAAGATGGCAGCAGTCCCTCACAACGGCAATTTCAAAACAATGTGGAAAATATAGACATAAACTAGCGGAAATTACAACGTTTTGAAATACATAGCGGCTCGTGAAAGTTTAATTGACCTATTATTTTGGCGAAAACAGATCAGGAGCCAATTGGTCCATGTATTCTAAAGTGTGTACAGATCCTTCAATTTCGACTCAATTTCGTCCGTACTTTTAAAACGAATTTATGAAGGATAACTACAACCAGGGCGATTTGTTCATCTTTAACTTTTCGGTTTGTATTTCTCTAGGATGCTCCTGCGTTTGGGAGGGTCCAGGGGGAAGATGGGCATCCTGCTCATCAGGAGAGTGGGTTTGTTTTGTCGTTCTGCCCACTTGTCTTCCCAAAACCTGGAATATCGACCAATCAAAAAGGTCATGGTTGCAAACAGAGGTAAAACTTGTAATCCCGAGATTAAATATTTTGCAAACAGTGAAAAGACCGTGGAAAGTGAAAGCCTGATCCCTGGATTAGTGCTCTGAAAATCTAAATACACACAAGGCCCAGGAGTGCTGCATTTTAAATTAATTTTCAGCAAGATCTAAAATGATTTATGGTTGCAAACAGAGGTAAAACTTGTAATCCCGAGATTAAATATTTTGCAAACAGTGAAAAGACCGTGGAAAGTGAAAGCCTGATCCCTCGATTAGTGCTCTGAAAATCTAAATACACACAAGGCCCAGGAGTGCTGCATTTTAAATGAATTTTCAGCAAGATCTAAAATGATTTACTTGTTATTATTTACCCACCCTCTTGTCATTATTTACTCATCCGATCCTTGTTATTATTTATTCACTCAAATGGCATTTCAAATCTGCATGCTAACACATGGCCTGTTAAGATGCAGGTTTTTTCAAACTTTTTAATGCCATGTACCCCCAAATATGATAATCTACCTTTTAAAACATTTTTTTTTCCAATAATTTTTTTATGGTGCACTTTTTAATGCCATGTACCCCCAAATATGATAATCTACCTTTTAAAACATTTTTTTTTTCCAATAATTTTTTTGGTCATTGTTTTGTCCTTTGAGGAACTGAAAGATGTGGGCTCATTTCGAGGTGATTACCACTACTGTCCACTAACCTATTCACACATGTGTTTCTCCCATCAGGTGAAATAGCCATCCGGGTGTTTCGTGCATGCACAGAGCTTGGGATCCGCACAGTGGCTGTATATTCAGAGCAGGACACGGGGCAGATGCACAGACAGAAGGCAGATGAGGCTTACCTCATTGGCAGAGGCCTGTCCCCCGTTGCAGCCTATCTCCATATCCCCGACATAATCAAAGTGGCTAAGGTTAGGCAGTTATATATCTATCCGTCAGACTGTGATTCACCTTATCTGTCACTCTCTGAACGACGGCCTGTCTGCATTGTGTAATAACTCTTCCGGTGCTTAGTATTCACATCAGCACTTCACTATATGGTGCTCAAATAGATCCATTCCTGTTTTTTTGGAATAGTGTCAGAGATGCCAGCCAGATTCAGATCCTTTGGCGAACTCTCTCATTATGCCACAGGCAGCTCATCTCTCAAACCAGCAGCTTAGCCACCACAACAATGCACTAATAATGCATAAACACAAAGCATAACACACACAACACCACACCGTATTAAAACCGAACAAGCAGCCAACATCATCGTCTCTAACCTCAGCAGACGGCCTCAGAATAATTAGTCTTTCTCCAATGCAATTACCATGTTGCACGCAGTCAGCCAACAGAGAGAGAGGGGCCTTTCAAATTCTCTCTGATTGGGATTTGAATGAAATTAGTATTTTCCAGCATCAGAATAATTAGGCCTGACTGCTGTGCCACATACACATCCCTGACTAATGTTTTTTTCTTTCTGTTCTCATTTCTCTCTCTGTCTTTCTATCTCTTGCCCCTTCTGTATTTCTCTGCCTGTGCTTTTCTCCCTCTCAGGAAAATAATGTGGATGCAATCCACCCTGGTTATGGCTTTTTATCAGAGCGTGCAGACTTTGCCCAAGCCTGTGCTGATGCCAGGGTAAGATTCATTGGTCCTTCCCCAGAGGTTGTGCGCAAGATGGGGGATAAAGTGGAAGCCCGTGCCCTGGCCATAAAAGCAGGTACCAAAAAATCTCTTTACCCCAGAGATTCCTTTCTACATGGGGGTTGGGTGAACAGTACCAGGGCAACCCTAGCACCATGGTACTTGCAATAAAAAAAATGAAATTCTAGATTTATATGATTAACTGTTGCAGTTGGTGGAGCTGAAGCTTTATAATAAAAGTATAGAATAAAACAACCAAATAAGTTATATCTTTCTATAAGAAAACTATTAATATTTATTATTAATTACTAATATTTGTTCATATTATTCATATTTGATTCTACTTATTTTAACCCAATACTTGCAGGCAAATTATTGTCTTTGTTTCTTTGTCTATTTTTTCCTTGTCAACCAAAATAGTTCTAAATGAAACTGCATGTTTTTGAACAAATTGGTTGAGTGGATGAATCAATGACTCACTCATAAACACTAATTTCCTGAACAAATCGGTGTTTTGAAAGAACTGGTTAAATAAATACATGTAAATCAGTAAATCAATCAGACAGTCTTATCGTGTCATCATCATCATACTGGCTTAACAATGTGACTGGCAGAAAGAGTCACTGAAAAATCCCTGCTACTAATCCATCTGCAGAACCACAGAGTTGTGACAGCAATTTTTGACCAGAAGTCTCAGATACAGTAGAAAGTTCAGGTGTAGCTTATAGGCTCTTGGACTGTAGGTTAGGGTCAGTGGTCAATGAGGTTAGGTGTTCCTTAGCTCAGCCCTAACCTCCATACTGAGAATGATAGTCGGAATCTGCTGTCACGTATGGCTCTGCAGCTGGATATATCTGACTGACTGACAGTCTGTCTGGAATGCACAAACACAAACAAGCAGATACAAACAGTGAAAAATGACTAAATATGACACTCAGCAAATCAAATGAAATCAAACCAGGGCATGTAATGAGAAAATTTGTTCAGGGTAAGAGCCTTTTTTGACACTGTTACTGCATTATTGCTGCAAGGTGTAAATCACAGATCCGATCTTTTGACAAATTTCCTTTTTTGTCCCATCTGTTACTTTCACTTCACATTCACTTCAGACATAGCCAGCTGTGTTGACATGAATACCTGTCAAGGCTGTCAGTCTGCATGATATAACCTTGTTAGGTGTTTCCAGTATGCTTAGTAGTCCTCAAATGTTTAACACGAATGTCCCAATGAACGTAATTATTGTACATGTCCTTGTTCTTGAAAAATCAATAAAACTGCTAAAGAATGTAATGGATTATTCAATGGAGAGAACAGGCTGTCTTGTTAATTCACACAGCAATTCTGTTGAATTGAATATTTCTGTGTGTGGTCATTAGAAATAAAATATGACATTTCTCTTTGGGAAATATGGGAGATGCTTCCTCTTACAATGTATATTGCTGTATTTAACTAATTATTTGCATAATTCTTCATTTATTTAAAGAAAAAAATGAATTGCCCTTCATGTTCTTTACATTATGATAAAATGTGGCCGCAAAAGGCCTTTCAGTGTATATAACAAACGTGTATGTGTCCGTAATTTGATGTTTGTATATTTATGTATAGTATGATCATTTTTGCAAAAACTGTGCTTGATAAAAAAATAAAATTAATTAATAAAATATATATACTAACAGCTATTTTAGTCTAGTCTTTGAGATCACGTGACCAGCAAAACACTGCTTAGTTTAATTTTTCTAACCCTATATTAGTGGACACTTTCATCTGTTGAATAAATTAATCATGCCTGACTGCTAAAAATATGATTTTTACAACAACAACAAAAAAAAGACAATTTTTTCCACACTTCTAGGGGTCAGTACAATTTTTTTTCACATACGGACATCACAACAATATATATCTTATATAATAATATATAAATATTATATCTTGTCATACTCTATTGCTTCTTTTTTTATAGTAAATACTTAACAAATGTAAAAAAAAAAATATATATATATATATATATATATATCAAAATATGTATCAAATATGTGTCAAAAAATGGGCACACTTTTTTGATGGGGGGCTGTGCCCCAGTACTGAAGAAAGTCTAGAAATGCCCGTGGTGTAAACAGCAAAAACATATCAAATCACTTGTTGTATGTGTTTGCTTGTATGTGTTTGCGGTTTACATGCATGCAACAAGATCTGATCTGCACCAAAACATGATTCATTATTTTGTATTCACAAAGTATAATTTACAAAAAACAGAGACTGAGGTGATCAGGTCCTACAAGTTCAATACAATAATTATAGTATTGTCATTTTTTTATATTTCCTCATTACAGTACTTTTTTGTGAAACTTGTGTATGCGAATCATTGAAAAACGTGTCGTAATTCGTAATTTGATGTTTGTATATTTATGTATAGTATGATCATTTTTGCAAAAACTGTGCTTGATAAAAAAAAAACAAAAAAAAACTTGAAGGTGGTTTGATGGTCTTTCCTGGTTTAATCTGGTCTAGTTGGTCCCCTGCCTTGCCAGGCTGGTGTAGCTCCCACCCTAAATCACAGACAAGTGCATCTAGTGTAGACCGTATCACTGATTATAATGGGTTGTGTTACCAGTCTTTTGTTGCATCGTGCCGCTCGTGCCCAGTGTAGACATGGTGTTAAGGTAGTTTTATTTATTTATTTAGTGACATAAGTTTGTGAAATAAGAGGAGATTCAGATGCAAATGTTTAGAATTTTTACCGTTTTAATTTACTAAATGTTTTACTTTACATAAATATGTACCACATAAGGATGTGGCCCAAATAGTATGCAAAAAACAAATAGATCTGAATTAAATTCTGTTAATTTTTCCCAATCATTTTAGGTTATCTTGATCATTTGTGTAAACCAGGGGTGTCGCTAGACTCTTTTTACTGGGATGTCTCCAGTAAAATACTGCTGTGCTCCAGTAAAACATTACTGATAAATCCTTATGTGTCAGTGAAGATTACTGCATACCTGTTTGTTTTCTATCAGCTGTTAAGAATGCCAGATTCTGATATAATTGTTCAAACAGGTTTGTAAAAAAAGTCTGAAATTGTTTGCAATTCAGTTCGATTCATTTAGACAGTCCACTCACGCACTGAATCATTTCCAATGGTTTAAGTAATAGTAAAGGGATATTTGTGTGAGGTAGATATTCACCAACAATAGAAAACAAAACTTGCAAATGCCTTCTATCATTTGCCAGCAATGAAGCAGCTTATTGTGTGTGCAGCTTGTGAATGACTCTGTACTGCAGGTGAAGACTATTTATCATATATCCAGTTTTATCTTGTCTTTTGTCGCGTTGTGCCACTCATGCCGCTCATGCTGTTAGGGTAGATATTCAGGTGTGTGTGTGTGTGTGTGTGTGAAGGTGTTCCAGTTGTTCCCGGAACAGACGCACCCATCTCATCTCTTAAAGAGGCTGAGGAGTTTGCCAAAACATACAGCTTTCCCATCATCTTTAAAGCTGCATATGGAGGAGGAGGCCGTGGGATGAGGGTGGTTCGAGATTATGAGGTCTGTGAATCCTCTAGCCCAATTAATGCATAAAAAATAAATAACCAGGGAATCAGAAAACCATCATGTGTCACTGTGATGATAGCAGGCCAGACACCTAAATATGCCACCAAAGTGCCACAATGCCACAGCATTTACACTTATTACTTACAGTATAGCTGCCTCTACAATTTAAATTGGAATGGAAGAAAGTATTTTAAAATTGAAAAATTGCATATGACTTTTTCACTCAATGGGACCTTTCACTCAAAATCACCCTTTTCCTGTATGAAAAACTCAATCTGACATTATCTGACAGTAGTGCCCTTCTCCCCTTAAACAGATAACTGTGAAGTTTCAAGGCTAGCCCACCCAAACTATGTCGATCACGACTTTTAATGGGCCTCATTTTCTGCACGTGTGAACAACATATATTGTTTATTTTATGTCAGTGGATACTGCCTATTTTATGACAGCATTCAATTGTGTTACGGTAAGATAGATGCTCATTGTCCTCCACTTGACATGTGGACATACACATGTGACAATTACTATTCCAGTGCAATACTATATCACATTGACATTGCTTGTTCTACATAGTCCATTTGCTTTATTTATTGCCTGTATTTATTGTCACTAGTGAAAAGTGTTTAGTGTTTATTGCCTCCTTCTACCAGGCTCTGTGAGATAAGTGGACAAGCACTGTCTTGTAAAGAGTGTTAAATATTGTGTGTCATGGTTTCTGAAGAGACTTCATTTCATGTCTTCAACTACTTCACAGACGATAAATGAAAGTATACCAAGCTCAACCTTTAATGAAAACAATTAAGTGCTTACCAAATGACCTTAGTGGATGATTTGCCTTTGTTCCACTAAGAATAGAAATCATTGCCATTTTATTCTCTACTAGATTAGCTTTCAGTTTATTAGACACACTCGAAAGCACCCTTCAGAATATTTCAATTTAAAACAGATGGTTTTAATTATATTATATTATATTATATTATATTATATTATATTATATTATATTATAAGCAAAACATTTTTCAAATTTGACAATCATAAGAAATGATGCTTAAGCACAAAATCAGCATCTTGGAATGATTTTGTGTAATGGCTACTGAAAATTCAGCTTTTCCATCATTGGAATAAATTACATTTTAAAATATATTAAAATAGAAAACAGTTATTATAAATTGTTATAATATTTCATAATATTACTGATGTTACTGGGCTTGGTTACTTTTACTTATTGTAATAATGAACTTTGTGACTTGTTTACAGGAATTAGAGGAGAACTATCAGCGAGCATATTCAGAGGCTCTGGCTGCATTTGGTAATGGTTCTCTGTTTGTTGAGAAGTTCATCGAGAAACCACGACACATTGAAGTACAAATTCTTGGTAAGTTAATCCATGTATTTTGTGTTTGTGTATGTTTGTGTTGACAAAATAAACAGAGAGGGATATTATAAGAATTTGTCAGAATTTGAATTTGTCTATAGTCCCTAGAATGTGTGCACATATTTGTTTACCATGCTTGCTATGATCTATTAGCTTCTCCCTGGTGTATTTGAACCATTATAGCTGAGTATTTTGGCTCATTAGACGTGATTTGCTCGTCTGGAACAGAGCTCATAGTCGATAACATACAGCTGGAATTGAATTGGGCTTGTTAACAGAGAATGGCTCTGTGTGTGTCCAGGGAACACCAACCACATGCTCTCTCTCTCTCTCTCTCTCTCTCTCTCTCTCTCTCCCTTTCTCTCACTCTCAGATAAACTGATTTTATGTCTTCTTGTGCTCCACTGTGAATCTAATACCAAAGTTATGCAGATAAATATCTGAGATACAAAAGAACCGTATAGTCCTGTTCCCTTTCAGTCAGTCACGTTCGACGTTACGTCAGTCATGACTGACGAATTGGGATCTCGCCTGAGAGCCCAATCACCTTCGAGTGTTAACTAAACAAGCCAATGACAGTTGGCGTGCGTGTTTCGCAAACGCACATCAGCTTTTCGCTTCGGAGCCGAGCCTTCTAGCAAGACTGAATCTCCGCGAGTGTCTACGAGACAGCCTCTGGCATTGGTGTTACGGCGCGTCAGCGGGGGTTGCCATCCAGTGCTGCTCTCTTCGGCGTGCTGCAGCTTCCCATTCTGCGGTCTTGCCGCGACCTCCCCTGGGCGCTTCAGCGCTCTCTCTAAAAGAGTGTTTTTCCTAAAAAAACAAAAAAACCGGTCTTGCCGCGACCTCCCCTGGGCGCTTCAGCGCTCTCTCTAAGAGAGTGTTTTTCCTAAAAAAACAAAAAAACAAAGAGCAAATCTAAAAGAGCTCCACGAGCGACGGGCATCTTTTTAAAGATGGCTTCCCGCTCGTGCGTTTCTGGATGTGGTCGTTTCCTGGCTTCATCTGACGGTCACGATCGCTGTGTCCAAAAAAAAAAAAAAAAAAAAGAGCAAATCTAAAAGAGCTCCACGAGCGACGTGCGTCTTTTTAAAAATGGCTTCCCGCTCGTGCGTTTCTGGATGTGGTCGGTTCCTGGCTTCATCTGACGGTCACGATCGCTGTGTCTCGTGCTTGGGCTTTCAGCACGCTGAGGCAGTGCTCGTGGATGAGTCATGTTCTCATTGCGGGAACATGACCATCGCGATGTTGCGGTCCAGATACCTCCTCATCAAACGGGGGGGCATCCCCCTTGCCATGCCCCGTTCTAGCTCCTCCGTCTCTCGGAGAGCCACTTCGGTTCATGGTCAGGGTGATCTGAGGATCACGGTGAGAGCTTGCTGCCGGCTGGGCGACGCCTAACACGCTTGCGAGGTTCTATAATCTCCGTGTAGAGCCCGTGTCCTCTCGTGTACTCGCCTCAGGTAGGCAGTAACACCGGACCTGCTCGGTGTCAATCACGCTTGCTGCGCCATTCCCCTCTATGGACCGGATACGTGCGCTTTTTTGCTTCTCAGTTCAGTTCCCCATGGCGAACCCTGTTGGAGTTCCGTGGCGGAGCGCCAGATGCCAGGTTCCGCACTCGTGTGCATGCCCAAGGTCAGCCCTTGTGCTGGGCTAGGTGCCCGTGTGTAGTGATTCCCCCTTCGAGTGATCCCACATGTGTATTCTTATATTTATATATATATATATATATATATATATATATATATATATATCTCGTCTCAGTTACTTGTGTAACCCTCGTTCCCTGAAGGAGGGAACGGAGACGTTACGTCCCGTCGCCACAATTGCTGTACCACTGCTGTACGGCCGGGGCACGTAGTCTCGGCTCCGAAGCGAAAAACTGATGTGCGTTTGCACGCGCTCTTCTTTTATACCCGCGCTGCGGGGCGGGGTGCACGTGGCGAAACACACACGCCAACTGTCATTGGATTGTTTAGTTAACACTTGAAGGTCATTGGGCTCTCGGGCGAGATCCCAATTCGTCAGTCACGACTGACGTAATGTCTCCGTTCCCTCCTTCAGGGAACGAGGGTTACACAAGTAACCGAGACGTTTTCTGTCATTTTCTATAACAGGATTAAATGTTTTAGCGATAATACAAAGAATATCACATATTTTATCTGATAGACTGTTAAATAATTTCCTTTTTAACTAAAGGGATATTACGTAAGACTAACAGGATTAAAAGTGCAATTGAGGACACATTAAAGATCCTAATACATTTCTATTTTTTCATGACGATAATGACAACAACTGCTCAAACCAAAGTAGAATTAATTAATTAATAAAATGAATTATCCTTGCTTATGAAAACATATTTGTGATAAAATAAATCAGATTTTTATCTTTTATCTCATTTTGTTTATATCTTAAATATTTTATTTAATATATTGAGACATATATGATAAGGAAGTATATGATTGGGAATGGGAAGTAACCCATTTAAATCAGGCAAACTTAAACCTTTCTCTGTCCTTTCTCTCAATATTTATTCTTCTTGCTTTCGCTCACAGGTGATAAATATGGAAACGTGATTCATCTGTATGAGAGGGATTGCTCTATCCAGAGAAGACATCAGAAAGTGGTAGAGATCGCTCCTGCTGCCCAGCTCGACCCTCACCTCAGAGACAGACTGACCTCAGACTCAGTCAACCTGGCCAAACAGGTACAGTACTGACACAAACACACGGATGATTGACGTGCATAACCTGCGACCAAAGCTTACACACATAGATTTCTCTTAGCTATATACTTAGCATGCCCTTCCTGAGCTTTCCTCTAGACAGTGTGAGTCAATCAACTCAGGGTTATAATACCTTCTCAGTTCTCACACTTCATTATGCCTGGTCACACACACACACACACACACACACACACACACACACACACACACCCTCAAGGCATGTGCACCCAGGCCCAGATTTCTCTTGACTCCTTTGCTGTATGTGTGTACTGAATGATTAACATATGTTAGTTTTCAGTGCTGCTCTGTCAAAAGATCTAGTCACAGAGGAATGTGTTGATTTATTTATTGATGTATTTAGCAGAGGCAGATAAATGGAGATGGAAGTGATCAATGAGTTATTAGTAGTAAACTCCCAGTGATGTCTATCTTTATGGAGATATGTGTTGCACTGCCTACATAATTTCTCTCTTACTCTTTCTCTGTATCTGTCATGCTACCTTATCTAGCCTTCTTTCTATAGATGATTAGTAACAAACTGGTAGCAATCACGTCATACTGCATTACTGCATGGCACAAGCTGATTGGCTTCTGATGATTCTACAGCTAATAAGATTTTTTGCTCAGCATTTCAATAGTTGGTTCTGTGTTCCCTGTAAGCTGGAGTTCCTCTGAAACCCTCCACCTCCACCAGCTCCACCTGTCTAAAACTGTTACATGATTTATGTATGCCTAATCATGCAGCAGCAACAGCTTATCATAAATAATATATTTCTGTCAGTATATGAAGAGTTTATTTGCAAAAACAGATAACTGTTTTTATAAATGTTCATAAATCATGGTTTTATTGCATTATGTTTTTATTGTGGTTGGGTATGCAGTAAAACCATTTCATGCACAGGTAGTTCCAAGTCAGTTTAATCACTGTTCCATAATAATGCGCTGTTTTAATTGATGCACACTAACCAACACACATCACTCGCATACACACACACACACACAGAGAGAGAGAGAGAGAGAGTATGAGAGATCGCAGATTGCGCTGCACACACACACACACATAAACTTGTTGTCAACGCTTCCCCACGATTTTTGTTAATAAATTGCCTAGATACTAGATCGCTACATTATATTCCTCAGCAACGATGGTAAAATGGCTGTTTCTGAAGTAATTGTTTGTAGAGAGAGACACACAGACACAGCACGCAGGTACACACAACTGTCATCTCTCTCTCTCTCTCTCTCTCTCTCTCTCTCGATTATTAATTGAAATACATGCTATAATTCATTCAAATAAATGTGATCTTGCCGCACTATTTCATCTGTGTGTCTGATTTGAAGCGGGCAGAATGCTAGAGGTAACGTGCAGTAACTGAATAAAATAACTGTCATTTTTACCCATTTGGTCAAATATTAGAACTAATACTAGCAATGCTAGTTTTAACTTGTCTATAACTTGGCAAATGACCATGGAATAAGCAGGATAATCAATGGCTAGCCGTGCATTAAAGGATTTTAAATGCATGATGTGGAGGCAAAGAACCGCCCGACGCGAAGCGGAGGTTACATATATTAGGGCTGTCAGTCGATTAAAATTTTTAATCTAATTAATTACATGATGTGTCGATTAAAGGCACAATATGTAAGATTTTTTTATTAAAATATCCAAAAACCACTAGAACAGTGTTATATATTTTGCTGACTTGTGTACTTACATTATCCCAAATGTTTCGAAGAATGTTTAAATCCAGAGAAATAAGC